TCATTTCCAAAACGTCTCGTCCTTCATGCACTTTCACTTCCTTTGTTGGACATGTCCCCATTTGTAACAGACAACGCTCGACGTTGGTTTTGTGCGAAGTGCACATTTGTCATGGAGAACGGACAATTATTTCATGGCTCAGCCTCAGACCCATTATTACTGGTCTAATTATTGTTTAATTCTTCTCAATTTCGAAGCTAAAAAACGTAAGAATTATTTCCAGGTCGATCCTTTTATCCGTAATGCGTCAATAAAGTTGACGCTTCAATATTCTCTACCCAGGCAACCCCCCGTGAAAATTGAACTTTTAAAGATTGGTTCCCGCCTCCAACGGGCAACCACTCCTGAAGAACAAATGTTTTTAAGGCAGTGAGAGGAAAGACATGATGTACTCGTTTTTGGTGCCACCGTTGGGTTTTTCGCTAACAAGCATCGTTCTGAGACGTTAAAATTTATCATATCAGAAGCGTTCAGCAACTCAATGCAATGCTTCCAAATGAATTATGTTCAACACTGCTTGAGAGAAGTTGTCATACATTTTATAGCGTTTGTTTACTCACTATTCAATAACAGGTCATGCTATAGGAAACCGGCCAGATCAGCGAACGAGTCTTTCTTCTTATTGGCCAGCAATTGATCTGACTATTCAAGCTTCAGCCTAAAAATCCTACAATTAACTTAAATAGACACTCCCTTTTTTTTTTAACATACCTTCAAAAATCTTGCTTAGCTTTTTGAGGACCTTTTCTCTGGAGCCATCCGCTCAGAAAATCGAACCCTTAACCTTCAAACCTTCATTTCTAAAACTAAAACACGTGTATTCCACCGAAAAGACTTGAAACCTCTAACACCAATTCCCCACCACACCCAGGCAAGGTTCAAAATTTCCACCCCTTGGAGAGCCTTTTTGTCAATTCACTTCTCACCGCGCGCGGACTACAGTCAAATGCCCGTATGTTGCCCTGGAGGGTAATGTTGAAGAGGCCCGAATTAATCGGTGCATAAAATTACAATTACTAAACGCTCCCTTGATCGATATATCAAAAACTTAACTCTATCATCAAAGAGCGATAAATTAGGTCTTGATAAAATAGATCTTGTGATCTTTCCATTCTGTTTTCCAGAAAGTTTCTGAAAAAGGAAAGTAAGTGATGTTGTTTCGGGTCTCACTCGTAGAAATGAATATCACGTGTTTTTCCGGCAGCCATTTTGTAGTCTGTTTGTTACATAAGCAGACTCAATGATGATTCTATCTTCGGTTCTTTGTAAGCAAGTGAACTTACCTTAAAAATTTTTTTACCGACATCAAAATGAACTTTTACAGCCTTGAACTTAAACGCACAGACCTGCGGTTTTTTGGACTAAAAACAAACCTCGTGGTATTAAAGTTTACGCAGTAGTGGAAATTGTTCCCTCATTTTTTTTTTTATGCACGCTTAACGAACGGAAAAACTTTCAAGACGAGTGAAACGAGAAGATATATACTGGAAGAGAGAGATTTGACGCCATATGTCTTGACCCAGCTTCCTCTCGTTCTGATCCTTTGCCCTCCACATTCATAAGGCTCTTTGAGAAAAAAAACTGAAATTACGTGATAGCTGATCGTAACCACGTTGTCCCCAAGTGAGTTAGTGTTACGCAATGTTGAATTACTGTGGCAAAGTTCCTATGTTTTCTTAAAATTTGTTCCTCTATACTGATCCTTGCTAGGAGCCCCTGATGAATAATGTGCTCCTGTCATTTTCTAAATAGATTCAGAGAAGAGATCCGATATCAAGAGACGATTTGTTCATAACTAAGGAGGCTCTTAAGTGAGGAAAAATCATTGGGGCAAGCCAAAGGGGTATATCGTAACCTTCTCGGAAACGAGTTAAACTGGTTATCCATTGCTGAATTTATTATAATTAGTGTTTTTAACTATTGATTTGGTTATTTGTTTTCAAGTTCGAAAACGTCTGATCAAAAATAAACTCAATGCACCAGATTAATAAGACTAAAATGTTTTATTTCACGAATTAAACCACAAGTCGTTTATATTTGGCAAAAGTAACCAGTGTAAACATTCACCATGTTACTGATAACATCGAACTTAAGGTCGTCAGAACAGAATTTATTTTACATGGCATACGGTGAACAAGACTGAAATGTTACAATGCCGTTTTTAACGCCGACACTGTCGTACTGTAGTAACTATCACAGCAAACTGACTAATAGAATGTATAAAACTTAAGTAGGAAATTTTTTTCTCTTTCGTTTCAAATGCCTCTTACTTTTAATTCTACCCAGAATCTTCCAGGAAATGCTTCATTACAGGAAAAGTATAAAGCGGCTTGAACACATCTTCCCAAAGTTTCCGGGAAATTTCGGGGTCGATGGTTTGCCAATCCACCTCGAAGTCGAATTTCCCGAACCCCGGTGGACTTTCCATCTGCAGTTTCTTCAGTCTTCTTTCAGCCGCCATTGTGGTCGTCTGCACCGGTTCTTCATCTTCAGAGTTTTTGTTGTTTTCAAAATGAAGATGTTGGAGATCGATATCACGTTTCTCTTCCTTATCTCTGAAACTATGACGTTTGTTTAAGCTCCATCGTCCGGGGCTTGTGATAAATTTTTTCAGCGAAGTGCCTAAAATCTTTTTTCTTTCTTCTTTTTCTTTCACTTGCTTTGTGAAACATTTGCCCATTTTGACCAACACTTCTCGATGTCCTTGATAGGAAGCGTTCCTTTTTTCCACCTAGACAAATCTGGAAAGTCACAATTAAGGCAAGTCTCTTGGGAAGATTTAAATCAATGGTTTGAAAAGATATTTCTTACTGTCACGATGTCTTCAAAATGCTGGAAGTCTGTTTTTCCTCTTCGGTTTTTCTCTCGATATGAACCGAGAGTTGTTGCGAAAAACAAACTAGTTGGTACGGTAACCAACCAAATCACTCGATCCAGTTCTCCAGAATTCAGCTTGTCTTTATAGTACGACGAACAGTTAAAGGTGTTCAGAATGGTTGAATAACTTTAAATCATTAGAGATAAATTGATAAAAACACTCTTTTTGGGTCACGGTGCCCAAGGCAATGTAGACTCCATGTTATCGTCCCCTTTGATTCCACCAATGCACATTTCCATCATTCGACCTCGTCTCGGTGCATGACAACGAAAAAAAAAAAAAAAAAAAAAAAAAAAAAACGAAAAATGATAATTTACTTGAGAGGCCAGGCTCGTAAACCCTTTAACTCCCATGACTGACCGAGGCAAAATTTCTCCTTATAATATTCGATACAATATCAAGTGTGCAAGTGATTAATAATGGTAATTGAACTGAGTGGAGTGCAATTTGGGCTGAAATCATACGTGTGATTTCAAAATCGAATGAGTGCACAGCGCGAGTTCGATTTGAAATCACAAGTATGATTTCAGACCAAAATTGCACGGCACAAGGTTCAATTACCACTTTATTACATCCATTTTGAAATCGCCCAAGTACAGGACTTGGTCAGTTCAAATACTTTATTGATGCAGTACTGAGCTAGTTTGAAATTAAATTCATTCATTTTTTAGGGGGAAAAACAAGAGTTTTGGAAACAAAGGTTGTAAAATTTGCCACATGTTACTCTTTGTCTTTCATTTTCCTGCAATTACATTGGTTACTTTAAACAAGCCTTGAAATCTGATTGGTTGTTTTGTTTTCAGTGTAGCCTCCTCATTGGCTGGAAAAATGATGCAATTTAAAGCAAAAAATGGTGCGATTCGTGAATAAATCGCACCAATAAGAGCCAATCAGATTACAGGGACCACCAATGATTTCAAAATGGGTGTAATAAGAATTAAAAAAAAATATCTGTCAAGGGATATTTGTTGATCCAATACCAAATTCTCTGACCCAACATCACAAGAACTGTATGACAGACAGTAAGGAGAATTGCTAATAAAATCTTTGGAGTGAAAGGGTTAGAGGGGGAACGTTGAGGGGAAGACGGAGTGAATGAGACAAAAGAAATACTCAATTCTTAAACTCCTCTCCCTCTATTTTTACTCCTTTAGCGACGATTGATCTCCCATCCATATCCCCCTGAAAACCGGGTGATCCCTGCAAAATCCTCGGAACTCTCCCCCTCCTTCTCCTTGGGCGATGGCAAGAAGCGATGGATAAATGTCAATCCCTCAGAAGATTTTGTTTATAAGACAATGTTCGTTCCTCTTCATTGGTTTTCCTGTAAGAGTGTTTCGTAGAGTTTCATTAAAACCATTCCATGAAAGATCTTTCTCCTTGCATTCTCATCTTTTCTTTCTTGTGTTTTGCTCTAAAAGAGAGTTATTGAAATCAGAGGGTTTCCGTTCTTTCTCGTTTGATGTAATATGTTTCTTAATTTTGTTGATGTTTCCTAATTGTTTCTGCCGGCGTGTATCTCAACGGGGTTCCGTGATAAATATAAGCGAAAGATGTTATGCTCCTCTGTAGTTGTTGTTGTATGAAAAACATAAAAAGTTACTTTAAATCCGTGTCCGCGTAAATGTGACGATTTTGAGAAAAAAAAAATTGATTAAGAATGCTTTCATATTTTTACTTGCGTTTCTGAAGGTTCCTTCGCAAAAATGGACGATTTATTCAAGTCACCAAAGTTATTCATGCGCAGCACTAACTAAATATGTCAAACCAGTAAACCATGTGATCTGCTTCTGAATTAAGTTACACCCGGTGCAAGCAATAATATTTAGCCGTTCCGTTGAGGGAATAACTTGGCGTCGGAAACCTAAAGGTAAAGCATATTTACAGTATAAATTTTTTTGATTTGCAATTGTCACTTGAAGTCTAGCGGGAACAAACACATTCGAAATAATTTTGTCTATGTAAGACTTTTTTGTCTAAGTGACGTTTCAAACCTTGAATTCAAAACTCTTTGTGAGTT